GCTAACTAGCTGACTGCTTACATACTTACCTACTTGCTTACATATTTTCCTCCTGACCAACTCGCTAACTAGCTAGCTGGCTAGCTAACGCCAGCTAGCCACCCAACTAACTAACTAGCTATATGGCTTACTACGAGTTAGTTAACCTCCTAAATAGCTAGCTAAAATACTAGCTAACTAACTTACTTCCTGACCAACTCGCTAACTAGCTATTTGGGTAGCTAGCGCCAGCTAGCTACCTAACTAATTAACCAGCTAACCAACTAGCTATCTGGCTAACTAGCGAGCTAGCTAGCTATCTAACCAACTAGCTAAGAAACCCCAACTTACTCACTAATCAACCTGCTAGCCAGCTAGCTAGCTAGCTAGCTAGCTAGCTAGCTAGCTAGCCAGCCATTAACTGACTTACCAACTTTTGCAATGTTGTAGTACTTGCATGATACGCAAGTATAAACGACGCAGATGATCTGACATCGGCCTTCAAGGCGAACACTCAGACACCTCAACCTCCCCTTAAACACGAAAGCACCTCATATCATACGTCATAAGGCACATCCCCTGTAATGACTTAATTCAGGTATCTTCCGTATTGAACAAATTGTAAATTTTGAAGTAATGCGGAGTCCACTGTTGCTTATGGTGATTTCAAATTCCTCAATTCAGGGGTTTGGGAGTGTCTAGGCACTCCTGTGCCCATCGCAGTAGCGCAGCCATCCAGGATCACAACGCCGTCCGCGAGCTGGAGGATTGCGAGGGTTCAGGGTGCAGGGTTTAAGGGGATTAGGGTTTCGAGCCCCAGGTGAGAGGAAAGGGTCCCAGCTCAGTTCTTCGGCTGTTGGTGGGAGTAAAGGCAGGCTTGGGATGCAGATCACCTCGAGCCGACGGTGCGAATGCACTTAAACAATTGTATCCCTACTGCTATGAAATCGGGACTGCGGGTGTCGAACTTGAGGCTCAGAGTTCTGCATAACTAGCTGCCAGAGAGCTCGCTATCTGCCTTCACAGTTATTTCGTGCATCAGACACAATAGATGCCGTCCATATAGAACGTCCTCCCACTACAGCATAGGTGATGGTGAGACGCGACGATGTCGTGTGCTGCAATGGGTGCTTTTTACCATTATAGCTCGTGGTACAGCATTGCCTTGCGTTTTCGATAATCAGTAACTATCATATAAACAAGATCTGCATTGCACACATATTTGCAAACACCATAGCACATGACATGATATTGCGTGGCGGACAAGGACGAAACACAATATTTCGCTTGCATTGCAATACGGTCAAGCGATTACGCTGCAACAGAACCACGCATTCATGCATGCATCCGTGCATTAATGCATGTATCCGTTCATGAATGCGTGCATCCATGCCCCCGGCATCCCCTCCCCTGCCCTCATTGTATATGTAATTCCAACTAACTGTTTCTCCAACGAAGTATCATGTATGAAACACACAAAATTGTGCATCTGCTTGCCGCCAAAAGAACCCCATGGAAACGTATTGCTACTCACTGAGGCTTCTATAGCATCTGGTGCTCAAGGCTCCAGTTGTCGGCTTGGAGACCGGAGACACACGGAGTCGATGCATTCGGCCCCATGCACAAGAAACGGGTTGCATGTAGGGAAGCTTGCCGGAGATACAAACCTTTGAGGCAGATGGTGAGTATAGATCCGGCATGTCCGCTACCTGCTATTCTTGGAGTCCTCTGATACTGCTTTTTGGCAGATCTACCTGTTAAGAAGAGAAGCCGCCTCTTTTGTATGTCCGCCTACCGATTGATTGTGCTTGGAACACCACCCGAGATACAGCTAATTGCATTGCGAGTACGACCTCATGCATGTTTACTCCGGTAAGAAGTGTAGATCTCGGGTATCTTTGCAACGCCGGCAGCCCTTTGGCATGTCTGTTGAACCGATCCCCCGACATACGAACAGATCAAGCAGGCTGGTTGGCGAGATTCGTGGCTTACATGCTCATCAAGCCTTCTTCCCACAGTCATGTACGAAGCCAGGTCCCGGCCTGCTCGAAGTTGTTGTCAACGTGGATGCATCCTCCCTGTGCCGACCTCATTATTGTATTCGGTGTTAAGGGTGCTTCAACCCATCGCCTGTAATTACTCAAAACCCGCAGCAGGTGCTTCTGGGATCCCTGCCGGGACCTGCTCTGCCGCACCTGAGCAAATAAGGTGGACGAGCTTCCTTAACCCTAAACCCTATTATCAACCCTAGTCGACAAGCTTAGTTGCAGGCTTAGTTATGGGCCTGACCAGTAAGAATAGGGTTTTAGAAGGGTTCTTCGGGTTCTAACTAATTATATGGGCTTGAAACGGTTTCAGCCGGGCCCTAAGAGTTCATCTAGGGTTCCTTTACTGGTTTCCTTAATGGTGCTCTGTAAAGGATCTGTAAGGATTCCAACATCTAGGAGCCTTCTTGATTGGAATAGGGTTTTGGGGGTATATTGCAGTATAGTTTTCTCGAGATTACAAGGGATGCTATTACTCAGTATGCTAAGCATGACCCATATATTGCCTAGAGTTTGCTGCAATGAGGCTGTAATTACGGCTTCGGGCGTTAAGGGCTTGGCGTTAAGTTTATGGATTTAAGGGTTGGGATTTTAAAGGGATTGTGAGTTTGAAGGGTTGATAGGTCGGGGCTTGGCTGTAGCAACAGAATGAATAGTTCTGTGCAAGCAGCAAGCAGTGAGGTAGGATAGTAAACTAAAGCATAACGACAATTATGCACGGAGAGGTGCCAAACTTGCGAGAGGGTTGAATCCACCTTTCCGATTCCAACAAGCTTCGTCCTGCTCAGTTTAGGTGTTAGGTTGTTTGAATCAGTACCCTTTTCCAAAAGCAGTTCTGGCATCAGGAGTGCATAGAATCGAGTCTTCCAGGTTGCGCTCCCTCCGCTGACAAGCCTGGCAACCTGGCAATCCCGACCTCGAACGCTTCCAGCATCTGCCAAGAAACAAGCAATTACCCCAGGAAACCATAGAATCCTAAACCCCATACGCCCCTAAACCCTAAGAACCCTTTCATAGAACTCTGAACTCCCTGTACCAAAACCCTGAACCCTAAACCCTAAAACCCGAAAATCCTCACCCGGGGAAGGCCTCGATGGAACCCTGGCGTTGCAAGAGGTGCGCTCGAGAACCCAGGAGCGCAATGCCTGCGATAGCGAATAACTATAGGGTTTAGGGTTTAGGGTGTAGGGTGTAGGGGTTTAGGGTTTAGGGCTTAGGGTTTAGGGGTTTTGGGGTTTAGGGCTTTAGGGTTTAGGGTTCATGATCCTAGTCAAACACAGTAAGCTTAAGTCTAGGTGCTCTATCGGGACCTAAGATTTACCCTTTAGCATTTACGGTGCGTGGGAGCTTTCGAAGGTTAAAGCGCTTGCACGATGTTACAGGTTTCGGGCTCCAGGGTTTATGTGTCTCTAGATCTGCAAGATTTGAGGGTTCAGGGCTCAGGGCTGTACTTCAACCGAGCTTTGGCAGAAATCCATGTGGGCTGAGTCAGAAAGACATGGCTTGGGCTTCGGAGGGCAACTGGTTGTCTGAAGGCCTTATACCTCTTACTTCGCGTGCGCTCATGACCTATGCAGGAGCAGTTCACGAAACGGGGCCTCCTCCTTCGGTCGACACGCAGTGCGTCAAGGAGATGTGGCCGTCTGGGTGCAATCAGAGCATCAACCCAACACGTGATCTACGTCGCTTGGTTTTCAAATCTACACTGCACGAGAGTCACTAGAACAAGGCACCAAACCTGAAACGGTACCAACCACCACCGCCGCCGCCACCACCACCACCACCACCACCACCACCGCCACCGCCACCACCACCCCCACACGCATTACTACTACTACTACCACTACTACTACCCCTGCTACTACCACCACTACTACTACTACTACTACTACTACTATTACTACTCCTGCTACTGCTGCTGCTGCTGCTGATCCTAGCCGCTACTACTACTACTACTACTACTACTACTACTGCTACTGCTACCGCTACTGCCACTGCTACCGCTACTGCTACTGCCACTGCCACTGCTACTGCTACTACTGCTACTACTGCTACTACTGCTACTACTGCTACTACTGCTACTACTGCCTGCTACTACTGCTACTACTGCTACTACTGCTACTACTGCTACTACTACTACTACTACTACTACAACTACAACTACAACTACTACTGCTGCTACCGCTACTGCCACTGCTACCGCTACTGCTGCTGCCACTGCCACTGCTACTGCTACTACTGCTACTACTGCTACTACTGCTACTACTTTTACTACTGCTACTACTACTACTACTACTACTACTGCTGCTACCACCACTACCACTACTACTACTACTACTACTACTACTACTACTGCTACTACTGCTACTACTGCTACTACTGCTACCTGCTACCTGCTACCTTCTACCTGCTACCTGCTACCTGCTACCTGCCACTGCTACCTGCTACTGCCACTGCTGCTACTGCTACTACTGCTATGATGCCTCCGTCTGTGGCTAAAGTACTGCCACCACTACTACCGCGACAGCAGCAGCCACCATGACACGACTCTCATCACTGTCATGGTTGTTGAAGCATGTTCAAAAAAGTTGTGCAACTGGCAGCAGTGATGATGCTAGTTGCGGCGATGAAAACATTGCTAATGATGACAACGACGGTAATGAAAGCATCATGATCCGCTTTCCTGAATATCCACGAGACCCCCGGCCTGAGATCATGGTGCCATTGTAAACCAGAATGCCACCACCGCCTCCCCGGCCGGCCTCACGTGGACATCGTGGAGACACGAATGAACCAAGTAGATGCTTCAAGTGCTCTGCGTCTCTGCTTCAGACATGTGCGTTTGCAGTAGCGAGAGACAACTCAGACGATATTCGTCATCCCTGCTTTGCTATAGACCTGTTAATTAGCGATGCTAAACCTGTTACATGTTAATTACAGCTGCATCCTGAACAGTGTTTCGTACGATTTGGGGACTCCGGCCACGCAGTTCCGGAACGATGCGGCGCTCCGGTCGTCGACATCGAAGCGCGCAACGTGGATTCCTCCTCTGCTGCGGCTTTGGGTCTTTGTGATTTCTGATTCGACGTCCGAGCGGAGGGTTCTGCAGAGTCTGCACACTCACAAATTGCGAAAAGTTGCCTTCGGTGCAGTTGGCAGCCCCTCTGATCATGAAGACAACCAGCCTGCAACAATGACTCATCGGATTCAGCAAGGGTCGGGGGACAATCGAACCCACACACACAAAAAGTCATAACATTCACTCTGCCACGTGCTCGCGTCCTCCAAACTCTTCGGCTTTGCTGTCGAGAACGCTCAAGTGCGACTTGCTCAGGTACAGGCCCCTGCGACGTGGTTCCATGAACGCGCGACCCTAAACCCTAAACCTCATCCCCCATCACATTCCTCTCATGTGGCTTATGTAGCAGCATCATGCAGGGTGTGTAATTCTTGCACGTATCCCCGACAAGACACGCACATGTGCTCTCAGCACAATTGCCAAGATTCGTACATCAATCATCCTGATCAAGCCACTCCGCTGGTCCTACACTCAAAGTTCTAAGTAAAAGCCCTAAAGCGCATATCGGTTCGACGTTTTGGGCCTTTGCACGAAGATGCTCCCGCCGACGATCGCCTCACACTCCCGGAACCTGCACCAGGGAAAGACGGTTTAGACTTGTTGGGTCGAGGGTCGCTAGATGCATGGATGGAAAGTCCAAGGAAGCCTTCAACATAGGCCACGTTCTCTGTTCTTATCCTCTACAGCTACGAAATCATCCGTGCAGCATCGGGAGTGTTACATCTATGCCATATATGGTTGAAACCACAGATGACTCCAAGGAACTCAAGTTGACTCTCTTGAACCAGGAGGGATTTCTCCGCGTAGAGGCCGCCTGAGCAAAGGAGCTCCGAGCCGGTTCTAAAGGCGTTGAGGGCTTCATGCGAGGGCTACATTTTCGGGTTTAGGATTTAGGATTTAGCGTTGCTACAATGACGGCTCCCTCGCAACATACTGGGTTTACTCCGAAATACGACCGGGAGCGGGCTTTGGGTGTTGGTGGTCTCGCATCTCCGGGTCTTGCACTGTAAAACTTCACGGTCTCGGGTTTGAGGGTTGACGGGTGAGGCTTTGGGTTCGGGAAGCTAAAGACGAGTTCGGCTTTTCCTGTGGGCGAAAATGCACCACCACCTCCTAAACCCTAAACCCTAAACCCTAAACCCCTAAACCCTAAACCCCTAAACCCCTAAACCCTAAGCCCTAAACCCCTAAACCGTAAACCCCTAAACCCCTCTCAGCGATGAACAAACGCTTCCTGGTCCAGGCACAACTCCCATTCGGCTGACAAGGGTCATGCGAAATACACCGCGTTTCGCTACTTCGTAGAACAGGTCCTTACTTGCTGTTTGCTGTCTACCTCAATCACTTCCGCTTGGTTGGTTCTCTACATGCACATAATTCCATCCATTCATCCATCCATTAGCCATCCGTCCATCTCTGCTTCCGTGTGCTGTCATGATAAGCCATGCATGCAGTCGTCATTCATAGAAACCTGCAAGAAGGGTTCTTAAAGAGGAAACCGGAATCTGCCAAACATCGCCAAATATCCGACCATGAATGTCACTGATGGGGGCATGAACGACTTGTACCCATAGTATCGCTGCTGCCTGTCTTCCGCAGACGAACATAGTTCGAGCCCCACACACAATCCATGACAGCGAAAACCCTAAACCCTAAACCCTAAGACCCTAAACCCTAAACCCATGAAAAATAAACCTTCAGGGCAAAACCATGACACTCAGCAGCTCAACAACTTTGCCGGAGGCCTCCGTCCTCCGTTGAGGGACCTCCGCAGTTTGTGAAGTGCGCTGTGGCGTTGAGGAACCGGGCCTGTAGGCAACACAAGAAAGAGACGGAACATACAATTCAGGGTTTAGGGCTCAGGAACCAAGATATAGTCATTCTAGCTTAGTAGTATAGGGCTCAGGAACCAAGATATAGTTATTCTAGCTTAGTACTATAGGGCTCAGGCACCAACATCAAGCTATTCTAGTTCAGTCCGTGTTGAAACGACTAAATCACCACACATGGAGCTCAGCAAACCAATACTGTTCAGTAGGGCTCCCTATGATTGATGTTGTTCTGTGTGTCATATGATTCTTCTTGTATTTTGTCATACCTCCCATTCAAACCGCTTTAGCCCTATAGTGTGATATTGTTGCTCTATTTTGTATTCTGTATACCAGCATCATTATATCATTATCATTATGATTATCATTACATCAGTATCAATATCATTATATCATAGTATCATTATATCATTATATCATTGTCATTATATCATTGTCATTATATCAGTATCAATATATCATTATCACAAGATCATTATCATTATCTTGTTGGTATTACATATAGTACGGCACCCTTGTAAAAAAGGGCCCTTAGAAAGGGACCCAGATTTAGAGAACTAGCCATTTCCCTATGGTTCGCCAGCCTCCCCTTCCACATCCAGGCAGCGTCCCTGGGCTCCAACATGATCCTGACGAAGACACGGAGACAACGCGGTAATGTAGGGGCATACACCAATTCCGCTTTCAGGGATGTATAAGGGTCAAGGGTTTAGGGTTTAGGGTTTAAGGTTTGGGGTTTCGGGTTTAGGTATGCAACGCAGTAGTTCATGTAGGGGAGTTAGTGATTAGAATAGGGTCTAAATGGTGTCTATACCGGATCGATAAGGGCCAAACAAACATTCAGGCGCCGCGCTTTGGGTAGCTAACGCCAGCGTAACTGATGTAGGGGCATAAATAACTGTAAGGGTTAAGACATACAAGGGCCTCAATACTATGAACAGAGCTTTAGGGTATATTGTACGATGATGATAGAGGAGCTCTGAGGAATAGTCATGGTAATTATGCCTTACGTGGGGCTAACACCACCCAGATATGTCACCCAGCGGATGGCGACGACTATGGACACACATTGCATGTACATGCGGTACATACATACATGCACGCATACTGATATACATACACTTACATACATACAGTTACATGTGCATACATGTTCATACATTCATACAGGCAGACACATATACACTTACATGCATGTATATCCATCCATTTCCATCAATGCATGCATGGATGGATGTACGCATGTGTGCATGTGCATAAGGACTATGTGTATGTTGGCACATGTATACATATGTATATGCAGAGATGTGAAGATATGTGCATATACACATGTATGTATATATTGTATGTGTGTATATATATATACACGCGCATACAGACACATGTATCTATGCATCTTGTTGTATAGATATATGCACGCACTTAATAATAAATGAACAAAGAAATGGAATGTATATGTGTATATATATATACACACAATTATACACACATACTTGCTTGCTCAGATGCTGATGCACATATGGTTGTTGATCTAAATTGCTGCATTCCGGAATGACCTTCTTCATGAATAAAAACTTAACTTTAGTGCCACCATCGCGGAACTTTCGCGAAGGCAAATTTGCATACCTTTGCAAGTTATTTGCCTGAGTTATAAGCTACAAGCTTCGCGATGACAAGGTGTTACGGGCATCATATTTCAGGGCTTTTGGCAGGCTTCCTAGGCGTGTTATACAGGCTTTCGTACCAATGGAGGATTGAAAAGCTTTTTCTTCATGGGGCTATTCCCTAGGAGGTGCCCCTTTCGCCAGCCACTCGCGAAATGCACCAGTACCAGTAACAGTAGGAGTAAAAGTAACAGTAACAGTATCAGTAATCGTAACAGTGACAGTCGTAGTAACGGAGATAGCAATAGTAATAGTAACAGTTCATTCATTCACACCGCATTCGTGT